GCCACGACGCAACGGGACATTTCGGCTATAAGAAGACTAGTGCTAATTTAGTACAGCGATTCTGGTGGCCTAACATGCTGGACGATGCAAAAAGTACGTACAGACCTGTCAGGTTTGTTAGCGGGACAAGCCGCGAACTCAAGCTCCGCTTGGGTTACTCGAGCCTCTATCCATTCCTGCTGGTCTGGGACAGAATATCTCCATTGACTTCATGGATACCCTTGTGACCAGCAAGAGTGGCAAGAGACATATATAGTTGATAGGTTCACTAAATTTGCTAGACTAATTGGCATGCCGGAGACCGACAGGACTGAACACATCATCAAGTTATTCATGGATAACTGGGTGCGTGATTTTGGACTGCCAAAAACGATCGTTAGTGATGGAGATGTGCGTTTCAAAAGTGAGATGTGGAAGAAGACTGCTGCATGGATGGGCAGCCAGCTCCAAATGACTTATGGGAATCATCCTGAAGCCAATGGGCAGGCTGAACAGATGAACCGGGTGGTGCAGCATCTGGTGAGGCATTATATTAAGCCCAGCGAGGACATCTGGGATGAGAAATTGCCTCTCATCGCCAGTCTGTACAATAATGCAGTACACAACACAACTGGGGTCACCCTGAATCAGCTACGTCTTGGGTGGAAGCCTAGATCTGCACTAGACTTCCTCCTCCTTGAAAACCGACCTGCTGCAACTTTTGGAACCATTGAATTCGGTGTCCAATACGAGAAGTTGCTGCAACAAGCTGTCATTGAATTCGGTGTCCAATACGAGAAGTTGCTGCAACAAGCTGTCGAGAACATCAAGAAGTCTCCAGAAGCAATGATTGCTTCTGAGAACAAGCACCGTCGAAAGTCCACATTTCAGGTAGGGGAACATGTCTCGGTTAAGGCTACTGAACTGGGACAGGAGTTTGGCACCTCTAGGAAACTAATGCCTCAGTACTTCGGTCCCTGGGAAGTCCTGGATGTTGTTGGTAGTAAGATGGATGGTCCCTCGTACGTCATCCGTATCCCTGGTCACTTACGCACTAACCCTTTCTTTCATCCCTCAAAGCTCGCTCCTTTCACCGAGACGGAACAGTTCCCATCACAAAGATCTATGCTGCCCCCAACCATGGATGGCCACGTGGACGTCGACGATATCTTGGAGCACAGAGACATGTCTGTTCCCAAGCCAGCTGGCAGGGGTAGACAACCTAAACTTGCAAGGGAATACAGAGTACGGTTCAAGCATCATACGGATCCTAAGGAAGATCCATGGTTTACGAAGGAGGAACTTGTGAAGACGGCTCCTCAGATCGTGACCGAGTGTGAGAAGAAACTGAAGGGGAAGGCACCAACATGAAGCATCTCAGTGAACTTTCGAAGCTAAGGGGGATGAAATGCGAGGAACGAGCCCCCACAAGGGCCCTTACGGGGCAAACACATGTTTTGGGCAAAGGCCCCCAGCAAGCCAAGTGCCCGCCCTAAGTGAAGGCGGGCCTGAATATTCATGAGAGGCCAAAACTCAACATTTTCATATATGGGTATTCAGGCTCTTGCAGCCCGCCAATAGGTTGAGTGGATGCGTGAGCCTCACTAAGCTGCGTCGTACAGTTGGCCCAGGCCTTGGCAGTTGAGTTTGGGGGTCGGGGGGATGAAGACAAGACAAAGAGCCGCAGTTTTCGCGACAGAGGCTGGTAGTGACCAGCCCTTCATACTATTCGGAGCAGAGACTATGCATTGTCCATGCTAACCGAACTGTGGCTGTGTCGCCACATAATGGAAGGGCACAACCAACATCTTCTAAGGGGGTTCTTTTGTGTGTGTGTGTGTGTGTGAGAGAGAGAGAGAGAGAGAGAGAGAGTAACGAGGAAGGGGGAGGGCTAGGGGGAAGGGGGTCTGAGGGTTGAAGGTGTGTGTGTGTGTGTGTGTGTGTGTGTGTGTGTGTGAGAGAGAGAGAGAGAGAGAGAGAGAGAGAGAGAGAGAGAGAGAGAGAGAGAGAGAGAGAGAGCTGTCTCTTATACACATCTAGATGTGTATAAGAGACAGGAGAGAGAGAGAGAGAGAGAGAGAGTGTGTTACATTCCCAGTTGGGCGATGTACACAATAACCGAGGATCCGCAATGTGATAAAAAGGACTGAATGGACAATGCAGTGCAAGTAGAATCTCAACAAGCAATGTGCATTCTGATACATACAAAATGGTGCTGAATAGCGCAGGGAAGATTTAGATACAAGACCTGACCTGATCGAGACTGACCTCTTTCACGTAGTACAAGATACTGAAGCAGAATGCTAGAATACCGATGACTAGCCCAATCAATGTTTCAACGCAGACCACACATACATCATACTCGTCACAAGGTGTGAAGGAGCCTGGCGCTATACGCAGGACGGAAGCCCCAGGTCCAGACATACACAGACAAAGAGGAGGGGATCAGACGAAGAAGAGGGGGAGAGATGAGAATGTCGTTAACACCGAGTCTTTGTCACAAGTCCCAAATAATCCCTCGTCGAAATGTCTGAAGCCCAAAAGTCGAGTCTGGATCCAGTGTCACCAAGCTCTCTCTCTCTCTCTTTCTCTCTCTCTCTCTCTCTCTCTCTCTCTCTCCCGTAGTCTGCTGATGCAGTGAAGTCAGGTAATGAGAGGGTGAGAGGGAGATGGTGGACTGAGAAGAGGAAGAAGAAGAACTCTCTCTCTCTCACGAGCCAGGTACTAACCTGTGAAGTTGGCGCTGTGCTGCAGGTACCTCGAAGACGAAGCTGGAGCAACGGCGCTGCAGGTAAGTACCCCTGGCCTCCGCCCAATCTCTCTCTCTCTAGGGCTATCCTAGCTATGGCTCCCAGCGCTGAAGACTACAGCTACGCTACTAGCGCCCAGTGCTGAAGACTAATGCTAACGCTACTACTACTCCTGCAGCGCTCCTCCAGAGTGCTGCTGCCGAATCCTGAAGACTACTGACTGCCTCCTGCCTACCCGTGAAGTGCATGGGAAGTCCCTATGTACTACCTCGGCCTGCCTCCTGACTGCCTCCGACTGCCTGCAGTTGCAGGGTGGGCAGTCCAGGAGGCTGCTCTTGCCAATGCCGAACTGAGCCAGGGGCTGGCGCTGCAGCTGTCGTGGGAACAGGCCAAAAATAGCCTGTTCCCAAAACCCTGGTTCGGTGCCCGAGTTTCAGGGCAGGTCGGTCTGATGACAGACCGAAAATGGCCCTTCGTTTCAGGCTAAAAAGGCTATTGCCATTTTTAGTCTGAGACGACACAGGGTCTGTAGGCCCCTGTTTTTCAGGCTTTCGAGCTGAACAGACACGGGGCCTGTAGGCCCTGGTTTTCAGGCTTTCAGCCTGAATTTCAGGCTTTCAGCCTGAGGGACGCAGGGCCTGGAAAATGGCCCTCGTGTGCAGGCGCAGCATGTAACACAGAGAGAGAGAGAGAGAGAGAGAGAGAGAGAGAGAGAGAGAGAGAGAGA